CATGAGATGAAACACATGTTTTCTGTGTTCCTTCCGCCTCGAGCTCCCCAAACATGCTGGAGATATTATTATTATTTATTATTTGCTGAGTGCTGACAGCGTGCTGAGCATCAGGCCTAGGAGCCCAGACCCTGCCAACACAGCTTGCAGTCAGCCAGCCAGCACAACATGGCTCCCTGGTGACCCAGACACACACCCAGCTGCCGGGGCTGGCTGCTGGGACCCTAGCCTCCAGAGCCTCCTCTCCTGCCTGCAGTTCCAGTAGCCCATGGTCATTGGCTTATCTTAAGCCCAGCAGGGTGGGAGTTACCAGGCAGCTCTAGCCAAGGCATCTGACCCCAGGAGGAAAAGGAAGACTCATTTGGGCTTACTGGTCTGAGCAGGCTCAGGGGAAGCCCAGGCCATGTGGCCTCCTCAGCTCATGTCTGCAGTGGCTTTCTTTGGTAGATCCTCAAGTAAACCAAGATGGTCACATCACAGCCCTTCCTACCCTGTGCTCACAACTTATTCCTGCCTTCCTCCTTAGGGGAAAGGGTCAGAGGCCAGAGCAATTCTTGGGCAGGAAGGATCCTCTGGGTCTGTCCTGAAAGCAGGGCCAGACCTAAATGAGCAAGTGAGGGACAAAAGGTAAAAGCAGCCTAAAAGTCAGGACTCAAGACAAATAATATTTCTGTGCAATATTTTTAAAAAACAGAATTAATGAAAAACTCCATGATAAGAGATATCCAAATTTTAAATACAGAATCAGTATTACTGACTCTTCCTTTGTCCTCCAATTGCAATATGATTCAACAAGTCCACTTGGACCAGCAGGGCTCCCCCAGTGCCTGTCTTCTGCACTGGAAGAACTCCCACAAGAACACAGCCATGCCATGGCTCAACAACCCCCTCCCTAAGTGAGGATTCCTAGAGAAGGGCACTGCCCACCCCAAGGGACCTCCCTGGGGAAGGACGCACTCGAGGTCAACAGAAGCCAGCCAACATGCTGGCACGGGGCAGGGAGAAGGTGTACTCTGGACACATGTATTGCCCGGGTGCTAAGCCCCTTCTCTTCTCTCAGCAAAGGGTCTCCATCCTGGAGGCCTAGAGTCTGTGAGTCCCTGTATTGGCTCAGCCCCTGCCCCCACCCTGTTCTTCAGAGCTCTGGGCCATGATCTTGGTCTGAAGGGCAAGTGAAAGAGGCTTTGGAAGACCCCTACTGTTCTACGGTCACACAGTCAAGGTCCCACTTCAACAAAGGGGGCTCCAGATAAAGTGTGATGCCTCAGTGTGAAGGAAAACTCACAAAGCAGCAGAGTAAATCCCTTCAGACCTGCCCTGCTCAGTAGCATCAGTACCTTCATGTCTATTGATGTAATTGTTGTATCCACATCTGTCTCCCTCTACAGACTATGCACACCATGAGGGCAGTGGTATGTCAATTTTATTCCCACCTTGGAAGCCCAGAGGCATGATGTCTGGTAATTTATCAATGGATAAATAGATGAACGAGTGAGTGAATGAATAAGAGAATACCTCCTTCTACCTACCTACCAACACAGATGACACAACATACACACACACACACAACTGCAGTTCCAAATCACCTCCCACTCCTCGGCATCCTGACTATAGGATACATCTTATCTGAGAGCTGTACTTTCTAGGGCCCTGGACATCTACACTGGAAGGGTTCTGGGGAACAGCTGGACCTCTCTGAGATGCTAAGACCACCAGGCCAGCCCACAAGGGTTCCCTCAGAGTGAGTAGCCTACTGCCTAGGCTTCCTCTCTGCTCATTGCTGCCTGCATCCTCACACAGCCCACAGAATCAGCAGAGAGGAGGGGCTCCAAGTGTGCTTGTACAAGTGCAGGGCATGCACATTGACATGAAAAAGGGCAAGTCCCTGACAAGCCATGCTTACTAGCAGCACCCCAGGCAGAGCCCGCTACACACACACACACCAGCAGGTTGCTGTGAGGAGGGAGAATAAGAACACTTTGGGGAGGACTCAGGCATGGCTTGGTCTAAGCACCCAAGGTGCCTACCCTAAGCCTTTCATGCTCCCATTCAACAGACATTTATCAAACTCCTATTACCCCAGCACTGTCAGCCGCTGGCAGGGTGCCAGTGTACAGTAGGCACTCAATTCTGCTGTCTGCTGCAGCAGCTGCTCCCTAGGAAACTTCCCTCAGCCACAAAGCTGCAACCAACAGCCTGACAACAGGCTCAACTCAAGCCTTCAGTGTGTGTATTTGTGCATCATGTGTAAGCCAGCAAAAGGCTCCAAGGGCCTGTGAGATACTATCAGGGAGACACTCCGATCTGTGTATTGCACAGTGATTCACAGCCCGAGACAACCCTCCCCGGGCTACTGCCAATTTATCAGCCCCACCATCTTCAATTATGAGGCTTGTCACTCATCTCCAGCCATCAGAAGGAAGTGAGTGAGAAGATTAATGTCTTTTTAAAAACTGCTTTCATCCCTTAAAAGGATTCCTCCCCCAGATGCCATTTGCATTTCTAAGAAGAAGGACAGAAATAAGGCAACTCAGAGACTCTCTGCTGGCCCACCCTCCCAGCCATTTTCACTCATCTCTGTCTCTCAAGGCCATGCTGGAAACCGCTCCAGCAGAGGCTGGGGTGGGCTTGGGACCAACACCTGCTTTTCTGAGCCCCTCAAGAGAAAGGAGTAACAGTGCCCCAGCAATTCCACAAAATGACTCTCAAGGATTCCCCTTAGGGACTCTGTTGGACATTGAATTGAGTCCCCCAAAAGTCATGTTAAAGTCCTAACCCCCAGTATTTCAGCCCCTATTTGAAAGTAAGGTGATAGTAGAATAACTCACTGGGATATACTGGAGCAGGGTAGGCCCTTGATCTAATACGACCAGAGTTCTTATGAGAAAAGGGAAGTTTGGATGCAGACACAAGGAGAATCCCATGTGAAGACCAAGATAGACTGGCACGACAATTGCAAAAGCCAAGCAATGCCCAGGGTTTCCAGTCATTGCCAGAAGCTAGGAAAGAGACATGGAACATTCTTTCAGAGAGCCTTCAGAAAGGTGATAATCCTGGGCCATTCTTACTTTGGACTTTAGCCCACAGAACTGTGAGCCAATATATTTCTGCTGTTTTAGCTCCTAAATTTTTTCTACCTTGTCATGGCAGCCCTGGTACAATCATCCCCAGTCTACTGCTACTCTAGCTCCTTCACCTAAGGCAGTTGTGGAGAACCTATGATGTGTGTATTGTTTTGTTTGTTTTTTTTAAGACAAAAGATTTAATGTATAAGTTGGTTTTTCTAAACTGAAACCTCAGTATTCGGTTTAATTGCAGTGCTGGCACTTTGCAATAAGTAAGTGGGTTTTTGGTTTGCAGTTTTGGCTCTCTTCTCTAAAAGGTTTGCAATCACTGATCTTAGGCATCTCTCCTCTGGCCCAGTGGATACTGCAAACTGAGCACAAAGATGTATGGTGGGTCTCAAGAACTGCATAGGTCCCTCAGCTTACCACAGTGCTTCCAACTACTGTTAACTCATTAAAAAATCACTGCCACCAGTTCGGCCCTCTACTATCACATTCAAATATGTTCTCCCCAGATTCAGTATTAAGTGTATCTGTATGGTACAAGTTTGACCTCCTGGTCCAACTGACTGGACACTAGGCAACAGAGCCCAAGACAGAGGGAAGTGGGAAAGGCACGTAGTCCTCAGAAATGCCTCAGGCCACCCCAGGACCAAGAAAAATGCAAGCAGGGATGGGCCTGTGCCAGGCCTTCCCTGTTGGACTGGACATGAGAACCATGCCTGTTGACCAACCATACTCCACTGGGACAGGGACCTCTACACCCCAGTGCCTAGCACAGGAGTGACAGGTGCTTCATAAATGCATGTGTGAATGTGTCATGATGGAAGAAAGGCAAAGGAGAAGGTACTCCCATTCCCTGTGTGGCAGATGGGAGCAGAGTGCACAAAAAAACATACTGGATATCACTAGGATAGGTCCAGGAAATCCCTCAGCCCTCTGAGGACATTCCCACCACCCCTACCAGCCATGTATCCATGCAAGACTGCCAACAGCCATCCATCACTTCCAGGACCTCCAGGAATGGGGCTGCACTTCTCCAGGGGCAAATAGTCACCATACCTACAGAAAAAAAACTACAGAGTGTGAGCAGGATAGCCTAGTCGCATAGGTTCAAATCTCAGTTCATCTACTTTTGGGCTGTGTGAGCCTGAACAAGAAACTTAGCATAGGGCCAGGGATTTAGCTCAGTGGTTCTGCTGCCTGCCTCTCAAGTGCAAGGTCCCGAGTTCGATCCCTGGTACCAAAAAAAAAAAAGAGAGAAAATTACCATTCCTGTGCCTTAATTTCCTCATCTGTAAAAGAAAGGGGAATGCATCTATCTCTTGGATTTAGGAAGACTCAACAGTTCAAACACAGAAAAACACTCCAAACAGTGCTTGGCACACAGTATGTGCTCAATACATGTAAACTGTCACTATTTTCTATCATTATCCTGACAACTCCAGGGAATAGGCCCTCCTTCTTGCTTTGTTGGCATTAACTAATGGCTTGTCTCCATATAATGATACCCAACAGCTATTTACAGAGAATTATGCCTTGTGCCAAGAACACAGAGGAAAGTTACCAAGGCCCAGTGGGAAAAGCATACACTATACTCCAGGAATATGAGATACAAGACATCATTATTAATGGAGGAGAAGTACCTGGGAGGTCATGTCAGAACAAAAGAAATATGTTTTGAGGGTTAAATAGGAGTTTACCAGGTGAGTCTTACCATGTCTATAGCAGGTTTTCCATAAATAGCTAGTGACTAAATGAATGGAATAGAAAAAGAAGCATTCCAGTCTCAGGGAACTGAGTATTTAAGGTGTATTAAAGGATAGAGAAGAGACAGGATATGGTTTAGCGAGAGCAGGGAACATGTGAGCAGAAAAAAGAAAAGTAGGTGAGAGTCATGTCGGGAAAGATCTTAAATACCATATTCAAGGTTGACAGTTTATTCATAGTCTCTGCAAGCCAAATCAGGGGAGAGCGACAAGTAAAGGTGGAGTTTAGAAAGATGGCTTGACCTGCAAAGCAGCTGGCCCAAGGCTAAAGGAGACCGGGGAACAGGCCATGGTGGCTCTGTCTACCCTCACCACCTGAGCCTTGTTCTCCATTTTCCCTTGAATTTTCTTCCTTGTAGAGAGATGTTCTCAAGTTTGCACCCCTGAAGACCCAGGCTTGCAGCTCTTCTGGCTAAGGACACGGTGCCCACAGCTAACTGCAATCAGAACAGGTCCTCAGCTAAGATCTTCAGGGGAAATATTCACGTCTTCATGCAAGTCTGACAAATGAAGAGAGAAAAGTTCAAGCCACAAATTGGAAATCCTTGGGGGAAGGCTTGCTTCTGAAATTTCACCAGACTAACCCTCCAGCACTTTGAGCCTACAGCCCTTTCTTCTCCTTCACTCCCCAAAGGTGCCCTGGGGTTGGAAATTTTCTTTCTAAATGCAGGTTGTAATATTGTGTGTCATGGACACTTGAGAATCCCCTGCATGGTGCTATGACCCAGCCAGGTCCCAAGCTGTGTTCTGACCTCACCAGCCTGGCAGAGAGGCTGCGGCACTATCAACGTCACCCTGACCGTGTGCCCAGGGGTGGGGGCCACACTTAGGCACACCAAAATTAGGTGACCCAGTAGGGCCAGGACACAGGAATGATGGGTGGGTGGCCAGCACAGCCCCAGAGGACCACGCCTCTTAGACTAGAACTCAAGCCCCACCAAAATAAGAGCAGCCTGGCATCTCCTGCTGTGCCCAGGGAGACGGGGGCTTTTGTGGGGTTTTTTTTGTTTTTGTTTTTGTTTTTTTTGGTACCGGGGATCGAACTCGGGTCCTTGTGCTTGGAAGGCAGGCCACCGAACCACTGAGCTAAATCCCCAGCCCCCTTTTGTTTATTAATTTAATAACTGTCCCTGTGGAGGAAAAGTAGTTCATACCTCTAATAGAAGTTTAAAATATATTCCATAAAGAGGTAACAGCACTTTAAAAAAAGAATCACAATCCCATCACCTGACCTAGCATCCACTTACATTCTTATGTTTCCCCAATTTGTGGATTGTTTTACACAATAAAAAATATACTTTACAACTTACAGAATGTTCTTCTCACCTACTTGAGACCATTTTAAAAAACCACTAGATAATCTTTATATACATCAATCCAAATCAATGTACAACATTCCATGTTATTAATATGCCATAATTAATATAATTAAAACCCCTGGTGATCATTTGTTTCCTCTTTTGTGCTATTATAAATAACACCTCAGGGAGCATGTAAATTCATGAATTTTGTCCACATCTGCGATGACCTTCTCTCCATCAGGATAGACTCTGGACAGTAAAATCAATGAGCCATAACAGAAGCACAGCACAATGTCTTCAATATAGACTGCCTTCTTCTCTCAAAAAAGCCAAGCCAGATACCAAGCCCTTGGGGATCACCCCCCGCCACCTCTGCCAGCTCTGGCCATAGCCCCTTCCAGACATAGTTTACTAATTCCTGGGACAATTTCCCCCCAAGGGAATTTAGTGTCTACAAAACCTACCTGTTAGCACTATAGCCACCTCTCTCTGTTTCTCTCTCACTCTTGCTCTCTTTTTTATTTTTATTTCTATGTGCATGTGTAGTACTGGAGGTTGAATACAGGACCTTCACACTGAGCTATATCCTGGCCCTTTTTTTTTTTTAATTCTGAGATAGTGTCTTGCTAAGTTATCTAGACTGGGCTGAAACTCACAATCCTTCCACCTCAGCCTCCCAGGGTGCTAGGATTACAGGTGTGTACTTCCACACTCACCTCTCTTGAGCATAAGGCTGACCCAAAGTTCCTTTTTCCTAAACTAACCACAGTATCCAGGAGACAGGCAGAGATCAAGTCCCAGCACCCAGCATCTCAGAGGTACACCAGGGTACATGGGCCTTAACTTAGGGTCAAAGTGAAACATAGTGATCCATCCTGCAAACATCCCCAAGCCTCTCTCTTCCCGCTCCCCTCACCCCAGCTCACTCTGCTGACACACACACACACCCAGGAAACAATCCCCTTTGGTGGTGCTATCCAGCCCCAGCAAGGTTAACTGATGACCCAAATTATGACACCAGACCTAAGCCAGCATCCCATAAAGCAACTTGGCCCAGAACAGAATTGCCTTTGCATTTCCCAGCAGAGAAACTAAACTCCCAGCTCAGTGTAAATAGGCTGTCTCTGGTCCGACGTCAGCCTCCCTTGCCGGCAAGTTATGGATGGCACTGCCGTATCACCCGTCATAAATACAGCCCCTCTGCTAAACAAAGCCGACAGCTTTGTGCCAATAACCTTTGAACCACTCAAGCCCAGTGTCAATTGTATTTGTCTTCAAGCTGAGGTTTACTCTAGACTGTTTGCTAAATCAGGGCTCATCTGTGGAGATAATTCAAATATATTACAGGCACCAGGCAGACGTGAGGGCCTCCCCTGAGTGGCCTCCCAAGGATCTCCACAACAGCAGCCTACACATCCCCTAACCATGCAGCAAGTCTGATGAGGAGAAAGCAGAAACAAGGGCTAAGAGGCAACACTGAGGCCAAGATAACCCTGGCTCTGCTGCCAGCTCTGCATGACTCCAGCAAAGTCAGATGACAATGAGAAGCCTCTGATTTCTCTAGATGAAGGGAGTCCCTGTCCTGAAACACAGAGAACTTACTTTTGGAAGGTGAGTCATATATCGAATCAGACCACAAAAAGGAATCAGCTTTGGAAAGTGATAACCCAGGAAGTAGAGAAATGCAGACTGAATTCCCACCTGCGCGAGAAGTGAATGAGCAGAGAGCAAAAAAACGTCCAAGCCCTGCTATGGGGAGGAGCAGCCAATAGGCAAAGACTTTCACAAGTCGGGGGGGGGGGGGGGC